AAAGGCAGCTCTGTGTGGCACTTGCCTCAATAACCTGAGTCGGCTATACAGGAGATCTTTGTCTCTATGTGTTCAGTGTGTACGCCTGAGTGCACGTGTTTGGGGTCTCTGTGCTGTGTGCATCTGCACATGCATACAGTGCCTGTGTCTGTACTGTGTGCATTGTGTGCGCCCTTGCCCCAACAGCCTGGGTAGCCTGTACGGGGGATCTTTGTCTGTTTGCGCTGAGCAGCCGTGTGGCAACACCACACAATAGACACACCGCGGCTCCGATGCACGGCGAGCGTCGCGTCTCCGACCCAATTAGGCGGATTTGTGAATATCTGCTGGGAATGACCAAGCACAACGAACCACCCACACTGGGTGCGGGTCGTAAGTTTGCCATATTGTGACGGTCGGATATGCGACGTTGCATTGTCCACAATCTGCTTGACGTTTGCATTGCTCTCAGCGTTTGTTCCCTCCCCTCTCTCTCTCTCTCCGCCCGTCTCATTTTCTATCCCACTCACATCCGCTGCCTCCACCTGCCGCTGCTGTTCACGGCTATCACTCCTCCCTGACAAGACAACAAAGGACATCAGCCTCCCAAACCCTGCGGAACAAAACAGCAGCGGCGTGCCGTGTGCACGCGACCCGTGACCCTGCACTGGCCGTGGTCACAGCCAGCGCGATGCCTTCTCGCTCGTACGAGCACCAGAGACATTGGTGGGTGCTCACCTCCAGTTCTTGCTATGAACCGGCGGTGGAGATTCCACATTCCTATGACGTGGACGAGTCTATCTATAGGACAACCACTGTTGACTTCCCCCAACCAAGAGACACTCCGTGCTATCTACTCCCGGAAGGAATGATGGGGCTAGTCAACCGCCACCCAACCCATCCCACCCTCACCTGGATTTGAACTCACAACCTTCAGATTGCGAGCCGCTCACGAGACCGCTGAGCAGCCATCTGGCCTGGGCGTTTGGCAGTGGTGCACGAACACAAACAACAACATCACTGGAACCTCCTTTGCCAGTAGCAAAATATGATAATTGTTTTTTTACCCTTTTATCTGGCAACAAAACTGTCTTTGGGTTGTGCGCCTTTTGGCGTCATCTGGTCCAACACCTTGTGAGACTAGGCTCTAGGAAAAGCTGTCTCGGGTGTAGACCAATCAATTTTAAGGAAAGTGAATACATTAACAGAGTTTGTGTTTTTGTTTGCACGTGACTCCTTGTGAAAAAGGTGTCAGTTTTGTTGCCAGATAAAAGGGTCAAAAAACAATTATCAAACAACATCTCAGCGCAACGGTCAACAGCACTTGCCTAAGCACAAAGGGAAAACAGAGTATGCGACATTACGAGCCCTTCTTCATCGCCAAGAGGCCCTCTCCGTCATTCAATTATTTATCCCGCCGGGCGCTGGACGTGTGTCCAAGCGAGTTGTTGGACTTGTGCACCGCAGCGCTGCAGTGATTCAATGCTTTCATCCCCGCTAATCCCATCAGCGCCCCGTCTCCCAGGAGAACCGGGCACCTCTGGCAAGATCATTAAATGTGAACACAAACAAAACGAACGTGACTAATGGGGGGGGAGTGCGCTTTCAAATTCGCCTATACCAAGGGGAGATATTCTTCTGTCGAGTAGAAAACACGCAGAGACGTCGCGTTGGCGAAATGCAACGAAGCCGTGTCGCGCACGTCGCAACCAGCACGGAGAGTCGTGCGCACGCACGGCTTCTGTGACGGTGCCCAGCACTGTCCTCAGAAGTGCGCGTCTTTAGCTCGGGGGCACGGCAGCGTTCGCCGCGGCAGGGATGCTGAAGGCCGCGGCGAGAGGACGGGCACCGTTAGCGGCTCTGACGGGCGGCGAGGGCACCGCTGTGAGCAGTGCGACCCGGCTCCTCTTGGGTCGGTCGCTAAGAGCAACACAACTTGACACGGAGGTTCTGTTCATATTGGATCATCGTTACGAGAGATATCATGTGCCCCCCCCCCCCCGCCCGGTTTCAGACGGGCGGACAGAAGAGCCGCATGGACACTTTGAACCCGAGTTGGAGAACGATCATTAATGGCCCGAGGGTTGAATTCCCAGGGCGACATTTGACAGCACGTACTGGCGAGTGCGAACTTCCTCTCACCACACCGCAAGCTATATGGCCTTTCTCGACGAGGCGCTTGTGATCAAAGTCGCATTATTCCTTTACTTGACACTTCAATTTCATTATTTCGGCCTTCGTACAGCGGCGTGCGGGCGGGCGCCGTGGGACGAGGCCATCCGCCTGCCCGCCGCAGGAGCCTCCCCCCCCCACCGCTCCCTCGCGTTGCCACCGTGACGCGTCCTGGAATTTTCCGCAGACGCGCAAGAGTCGAACTCATTTGGCGAAGATCCCCGTCTCGAGCCGCACGCGCTCGGGATGATCACCGAGCACTGAACGGCGGCGCGAGGGAGCCCAGGGCGTCCGGGTTGTGCAGCGGCGTCAGCAGCGACGGTGGCGGTGTCTGCGACTAAACCCCTGGACACGGCCACCATCGCTAATGAACTCCCCGTGCCGTGCATCACGGAGCCACGCCGTGAAAAAACTAATTACAAACCGGCGCCTCCCACTCAGCACCTTGGCTGGGTCGACGTGTCCACGCGTCTCTTCCCCAAGCACTCGTGTCCCATAATCATCACCATCATTGTAGAGCCATGATCCATCCACTGCTGGATGAAAACCTCCCTCCATCTGCCCCCCCCCCCCCAAGATCGTCACTGAGAGGGACTATTAACCGATTCTGACGCTCCCCGTGAGCGATGAGGCGTTCACGAGACAAACGCGGCGGCGCTGTCGGCGTGCGCGCGGCACGCTGCCAACTCCCGAGAGAGAGGAGCTTTCGCAAGAACAGCTTCATCGAGTGGGAGCAACAGCAACAACAACAAGAGGTAACGGAGGTTTGGTTCACCGTGGAAGCCACCTTCAAATTTCACATTTCTTAATTTTATCTTATGTAACGCCCTAATTGCCTTCATGTAAATGACTGCGAATCACCAATGTCTCTTACCTCCCACCCCAAACCCCGTGATTGCCTGTTACATTTTCGAGAATGCGGAGAATGTGATGGGAGGGCTGAACACGTGTTAACCCCGCGGAAATAGTTTCAAGATTCGCCGAGATGCATCAATTAAAATATTTGACTAACGTTGCAATTGAGTTGTTTTTAATTCGCAGCTTCTCATCGATCCGTGGGGGACCCGTCAGTTCCCTCGTGGGCAGAATGTCGACAAGGTGACATCTGAATTTTCATATCGGTTCTTTATTTTCCGCCCAAGGGCCGCTGCACGGAACGATCACTTTGTGGCGTTCTCCGAAGTGTGTCCTTTGCGCGTGTCAGAGGAGAGTGGAGCACCCCGAGAACACACACAAACGATACGAAGCACTCGCCGATTTGTTGTACTGCCGCTAAATGTGCTCTTGTTCTAGCATTTGAGTGCTTTACGCATGATGGATTTTTTTCATTATGAACAATCAAACCTCGGCTCGTTGATTTAAAATTGTGAGTCACCATATTGGACCTAGATTGTTTTATGGCCAAAGCAAAATTTCCCCCAGTCGAGTCGACACGTTGTTATTGGCGGGACAAGTGCTGTTAGCGAGCACCTATGAAGGCCGGAACGGCACACGAGAGGGTGGAGTGGCCAGCACCACGCCCGGCCGCCTTTGTCTCCCCAGCGATATTGACACATCGTACTAACCATGTCGAACGAGGGCAGAACCAGGACAGGTTCAGATAATACGAACTGATGATGTTAGCCGTGGCCAGGAATCGAACTCAAGTGGCCTGGTTCTTAACCGCAGTGTGCTAATAACCACTGTGCCACCGCTCCACACAAACAAACGCAGATGCAAAAGATTCCAGCAAAAAAAAAATGCCGCTAGTAAATAACAATTACACAATGAAAACGCAGCGCTAATTAACTGTAAAAATTGGCAAGCACACAAGCACTCTTGAGTTGGCAGTGCGAGTGGCGGTTGCTTTAACATCCCTGCCACCACAAGAAAGACTGCGTCCCAGCCCACGTGGTCTCCAGGGACGATGGGAGCCCTCGCTCTCAAGAACCAGCCGGCGGCTGCGGCGGAGGGGGCCGAGGGCGGCTCGGAGCGCCCATTTGTCTTCATCCACGGGGCGGCTCTGAAGGCACCTCACTGCGTGTTGGCGCGCCCGCCGCGCCCGCTTTGTTTTATTTGCCAAGCAAAACAAAATGAATTGCGTCGGGCGCCGACACCTGGTCAGCAACACGTCGCGCCCACCACATTGTCAAATGGCATTCGTATAAAGGTGCAGCCCTGCAATGATTTCCTCACGCCACTGCTGACAGCAGGGGCCTCCAGGAGAGGGAGCTCTATGGAGGCCCCCCCCTCATGGGAGGGTATTTTGGCCTACTCTTTCACGCTGGCCAGACGTCTTGGAAGGGGTGGGGGGTTTACCCACACGCGGGGCATGCTGAGCGACTGACGTGTACCCAGGTGTACCCCCGGTCAGGTGAACAGAGGTGGAGTGGATTTAATTTAAGCACGATTGAAGGCCATTGTGAATGATTTCCTCTTCCAGTAAATGTGATTACAAGAATGCACGTAGGCAAGTTAAAGGCCCCGTATTTACTTGATAAAAGCGGGCTTGGGCAGGAAACATCGCAAAGACGAATGATGGGCGGTGGTCAAGACTGACGGTGGAGTGGCAGCCAAATGAGAAAATAGAGCGGAGAGGGCATCCACCAGTGGCGAAACAACGAGATCAACTCGTGAACAGATCGATGGAATGGTGCCTCGCGAGACCATGAGATCGTGACGGCTTGGGAAGACTTCATCCAGCAGTGGATAGATGCTGGCTGATATGAATACTTTTTCTGTAAAACTTAAATGCAAAATAATGTTGAAAGCAATCGTTTTATTACGCTGGTATTAAGACAACGGGGCTCCATCAGACCATTTATTTTTCGGATAAAACCCGTTATGGAAAAATGTAATGCGAGCAAATGTGAAGGGAGATGTTTACTTTCAAGAATAAACACAAAACACACTTCGTGTTGTTATAAAGGACGTCGACTCTACGTGAGCATGATTACACGCCACTCGCACCTCTCATTAGCACGGATGGCTACGTACGGTGCGAACAAAGTTCAACATACAGCACATAAGTACACTCGCAGCTTCATGCTCAATTGCATCACAATATAAGCCTCGGACAAAATAATCTGCAACGCACCCGATCTCGTCATACTTCTTCAGAAGCAAGCAGGTTTAAGTCTGCGTCGTGTTTGAATGGGCGACCGCCATGCACGACAGCCGGTATAGACTGCTGCTGCTGCTGCTGCGAGGTTATCTGCGAGGTTATGTTGCGGGCAGCAGAGGGCAGCGGATCAAAATCCATCGCACTGCACTTCCCCTGCCCCCGCGTAAACGCTCCTTCATAAACCCGCAGCGATCACCATGAAGCGGAGAGAAATAAAACCCCCCACAACGCGCACAGGCGTGGGGAGGCACTCAGCCAGCAGTGCGTCTACCGAGGGCTGCACGTGCGGGGGCCGCTGCAGATGCAGCGGCAGGAGCGGAGAGGCATGAAAGCCAACATTCAGAGTTCAAACAGCTGGCTTGACATTCAGTCTCGTTTCATGAGAGACACTACCTCCAGGCTGCACCCCACAGATGCACCGTGCACTGCACGATAATTTATTATGTGCATAAAATCACCTCGCCTCAACGTCGAACACACTTGTGGAGAAATGGAGTTTGAATTCATTTTCCGAGATTTCTTGCTTGTGAGACTTCACAAGGGATTGTTGAACATCAATTGCGTTTTTTTTTCTGTATATTACCACGTGTATGTCTTGTAAAACAGATCAAAGCGTACAATGCAGCGGACGCGAAGCAATCACAATTCAAGCGGTACGTGCACTCAACGCAGCTTTAGCAACAAGCCTTACGTATTAGCAACTTACGCTGAAACGCAACACTTCTCAAAATGTGAAAAAAAACATTGAATGCGATTCCTTCTTGAAATCACCCGAACCAGGAATTGTGCACTTTTAATAAAAAAACACACCCACAAATCATAAAATTCAAAACATTATTCACATCCATCTGAAGCAGTGAAGGTTAATTTTTTCGGAATGAAACGGCGCAAGAACTGTACGCATCTGGACCCCTGCATTAAGCATCAACAGAGATTTGTGCTCATGCCATTTTATATGACGCCGATTTGAGCACGTGCCTACTAATCTCCCTAAGCATGTGTCCGACGCCTTCTAATGGCATCTCAGCTTATTAGAGCGCTCTCACGAGAACGCATTACTAAATTATAGACGAGTGTATTTTCTCTCCGTACGACACCTCGTCAACGTGCCGACGAGCTGTGATGCGCTTTGCCAGCCGCCGCCACGGTGCGGCCCCAGGGTTGCTCCTGCCATCGAGCCTGCACGCTCTTGTGCCCGCGGGTCGTTACACGACACAAGTTGTCTCGGCGTTCAACCTGAGAAAGCTCCACAACGGCAGTACGGCGCAGACGAAATAACGCAACCTTCATCCCGAATAACACCAGCTTCGTTCGCAAATTGCCCGTGGGTTTTTTTAGGATCCACATAAAATGACTCGCGGTGATCTCATAAGCTGCGTCGATTTGACACGAAAGCAAACGCCGTGCGATAGGGCTAGAACATGTGACACGGCTTAAAGAGCGCGCGGCCAGTGACAGTCGGCCACGCCAGGCAAGATGCAACCGATACGCCACCTGCCATTTGAATTGCCACGTGGTACTGTGATGGCAGTGAGATCGTGACGGCTTAGAGAGGGGCCTGCAGCCAGCAGTGGATTGATCATGGCTGGTGGCGATGACTGGAAAGGGATTCGTGCTTCAATGAGCATCTGTAGGTGCTGCGGCCAATACGTACAAAGAGGCACAAGCAAATTAAAATGCCAGGACTTTTCACTTGGCCGTGAGTTGGTTCTCTCTGTTACTTTGCCGCATTAAACAGAGAACTTCTGAATGTGCTTCACACTTTAAATACGTGTGATCAGCAGGTTGTGAAACAGCGGTGGTTAAATCCAGGATTTCAGGGCTTCACTGAAGACAAAGCAATACCAAAGTAAAGCCAATTGAGCATTGGAGACGGTCATTTAAAACACAACTGCGCTCGCGTGAACTCAAGCTCTCTGCGGGAGCCATGAGAAGTGACGGCCATCGTGCACTGATGTTCTGCACAATGTCTCTCACATGGCCTCATGGAAGATCTCCGTTATGGAACTACGTCCACGTAATGCTGCGGAGGTCTTTGTCAAGGATACCAAAATTCCGCTCGGCAGAAGCCCGAGGTTCAAAAAACGGGTTCTCTAATCTAGTGGGTCGATGGTCTCGTGAGAGTAGATATGTTTTTGATAATTGTTTTTTACCCTTTTATCTGGCAACAAAACTGACACCTTTTTTACAAGGAGTCATGTTTGGATTGACCACAATACCTGCAGTCCGAATGCAAACAAAAACACAACTCTGATAATGTATGCACTGTCCTTGAAATGAATTGGTCCACACCCGAGACAGCTTTTCTTAGAGCCTAGTCTCACATGGTGTTGGACCAGATGACGCTAAAAGGCACACAACTCAAAGACAATGCACCATCAGAGTATGAGAGCTCGGGGTAAGCATTTACACCATTGGAACCTCCTTTGCCAGTAGTAAAAAAAAGGTCAGTTTTGTTGCCAGATAAAAGGGTAAAAAAACAATTATCATATTTTGCTACTGGCAAAGGAGGTTCCAATGGTGGTAGATATGTTTTTCTCACGAATTTCATTGCTCTGTGAGGAAGTCCGGTGGCTCAGAAGTCAGAGCGCTGAGCTGACGATGATGAGATTTGCCTGGGTTCGAGCCCAGGCAACTGCTGCGGACTCAAGAGTAGTGAAGTGATGAACTCAGAAATTGGTTACCAATATAGTCGCACTAAAAAAAACATCCTATTTCAAAGTAATTTTGCACTTAATTGACTATATTTTGTTGTGAGAATGAAGAATATCTGTTTGACTGTCAGGTGATGAATATTTTTTCGTAGCAGGACGGGTGCTGTCTCTGAGTGTGGACAAGAGGTCACTTTAAGGGATCTTTGAGTAACTCTGCAATGTCTGCTTCAAGAGGCTGTTCTCTAACACGCGGGGCTGAACTGCTGTGAAATTTCCAAATGGATGATTTGTCTCGTGCTGTGACGCCGATAACACAATTGGGAAAACATTGGGTGAAAATGTGAAGATACAACTGTACAGGCATTATAATGTGTATGTTTAACAACACACCCACTACCCCAGTACATACTTTACGCAACATTGGAAACAATAACTTCAATAGGGTAATTATCCCGCATACAAATTTGACACGTTGAAAGTCTGAAGTGCTGCGGTTGAGAGCCAAACTACAAAGCTGTAATCCTGCAATGCGGCTGGCAGAGTTCCATACTTGAGGTCATTTTTTACTCTTCGGGCTAAAAATTGTTCCCTAAATGGGTGTTTTTTGTTATTGCCCGAGCAGTCGGCTTAAACACTCCACGCAGGACCGAGCTGCTGGTATTCGATGGGATCCGCACAAATCGGCTTCCAAAAAAAGCAGTCGTGTGAAGCAATTTCTGAGACGGCACAGAGCGCTCGTTTTAAATTGAAACGCGAGCGAACAGCAGCAGCAGCACGCGACTCGTCACGTACGGTGGCTTCGCTTTCACAGAGCTCAGGCACGCCATACACTTACGTAATCAACCCCATCACAAACCTACAACGGGCTGGGTGTTTAAACACGGAAATTATTATTGACGCGAAAGTGAGGAGAGGACAAAACAAATATAGAATTTCAACTGCGCTCTTTAGAATCTCTTAAAAATCTCAAGGGTTAATATCTTCACGTTCGTCAGTGACGCACACGCCAGTCCGATCGCAACTTACACCCGCAGCGAGCGACCTGTCGTCTTGGCGTCTGCACGAGTCATTACCAACGAGAAGGGCTTGCGACGAGCGGGTGTGGAGACGCTGCCGCCACGGCAGGCAAACAGGCGTCACAGCAGTCTGAGCACCAGTCGTCCGAGGTTCAAGATGCTAAGCAACGAGACAGAAAAATTCATACTCTCAACAGACAGTTCACGCATCAGGGACATGCCATTGTGCTTGCGTTGTTTACCAGTGAATGCTTGGATTCAGTGCTGTCATAAACAATCGCATTTAATTTTAATATTCAATAACATACTTTATTACATGTCGCGGTGTGAGTGTGTGAATGCACTGTATATTTTTGCGCGTTAAGAGCAATACGCTCTTTGGAAGCCCTCAGCGCTCGCATAAACATTGCATGCGGCACAACGTTACTCTTCCACACTCTGCTTTCTATCGACGAGTAAGCGTACGCACGCACCCAGAGCGATGCATAAATTAACCAACAGCTGCCGAGATGCCTTTGTGACACATTCACTAACCCCTGCTGGCTTTCCTTGCATTTTTATTATTAACATATGATGATTATTATGGTTGTTCAAACAGGAAAGCCTCACTGAGGCTCTAAACTCTTTTAGCCAATACCAGTTAAAAACATGTAGCTATGGGGGGAATCCGGAGAACCTTGAGGAAGCCAATACAGAACAGGGGGAGAACATGCAATTTTTGCACAGCAAGGCGTCCGAGTCGATAATTGAACCCAGACCCTTCTAGCTGCGAGGCACAAGTGTTACAACTGCGCCACCACCCTGCCGTCCCATCTGCTCCTAAGGCCGCTAGACACGGTACGGAGAGCCGCTCTCGGAGATGCATTAGCCGGTGACTCTCACGGGGCTCTGATGGCTGAAGGCAGGAGCGCCACAAGATAGCCAGCGCCAATTCCCTACAGCGGCTTCGCTCGACGCGCGTAATTAAAGCGTGCAAAGCTTAATTCTGTTTACATATTTACATCGTGATATGAAAATTAACAGGGAGTTTGCAACCACTCCAAATGCCATTAAATTACAGTCGGCATGGACTCTTCAATTATACTGTCCCGGATAAGCCTCTCGCATAAGCAATCTGGGAAACGTTGCGGTTGCAAATTGGCTCGTTCGCAAAATAGCCCGAGAGCAAAATTGCTTCTGATGAAAAAGAATGAGCTCTGCAAGCTTGCGTATCTGGGTCATGCACTGTGCACCTGCGCATTCTGTCCTACCGGGGGAGATGGTGCACGCCAGGCTAGGTGAGCAAAGTGACGTGCGTGCCGAGTGCTTTACCTGAGAAGAGCAACCAGTCCGGCGGGCATAACCTTGCCCGACTTTTGGAAGCGTATTCCCATCACCAAGCCCAGCACCGCTGACACAACTGCACACACCCGTCAGTCATTGCGTACATATTCCTGTCCACGCAATTTACGTACACACGTGCATGTGAAAGCGCCCGCACACCTCGCTATGTACAGGTCTGTTCTAGGGAATCGTGCCAATGTGTCTGCACTGCTCTGTTGAGCGTCGCAGTACACCAAGCCTTGCACCGGCACCGTGCCGACGTCACCACCACTTGGCAGATGTCGTGCGCAATTGACAACGGCTATCGCACCAAATCTCAGCAACTCTGTTCACGTTTACATCACTATATCTATTTTTTGCGAGCAATGCTTCGTGGGGTACATGTTGTTTAAACAGGAAATTTAGTAAATAATAGGATGGCTTACATACGCAACAACGCCGTAATAACAGGTGGCAGCAATAACCATTTGGATAAAAATATTTAGAAATAATTGTGGGTGACTGTAAGGGGTATGGCGATGCACAACAACATACCGTGGCAGAGGCATGTCTCCACAACGAGGCACTACACAGGGCTTTCCTGGCAGTCGGTGCAGGGTCCATTAACCTAGCTCTCCTCTTTGTTGTGTGAAAAATGGTTTGTTTCCGCTGTGTCGTATAACACACTGGACACCCTCATACCTCGGTGAGCTCGCCTAAATCTGCTGCCGTGTTATCACAACCACTTAACGGCAGGCCGGCCCCCAATTGCAAACTGGGCAGGTGGGCACAGCCCAGTTTTCCATTGCAGCCTTGCCAAGCCTAGCCATGTGCAACCAGGCCAGGTAGCACTGGGCCACAGGGCTCACTTTCCGGGATGAGCTATTTGCTTTTACCCGGGTTGCCCTTAGAAACAGTCGTGATGTCACACAGTCGGTGTGTCTCAAAGTAGGTCGAATTCAGGGTTGTGTATTCATAATTTAAAAAAGAAACAGTGCAGAAAATTAAAAAAAAATAATAGATTTTAGCTTGAGATAGCATAATGCTCATCTGGCTATTGCATTAAATCTTGCAAAAAAATAAATTGCGATAACTGCCCTGAGGCAGCTAAGGGAAACCAAGGGACGGAGAGGGGGAAGTGGGTCCACGCGGCAAGAATGCTGGGGAGGTGGCACGGTGCTGTGCGAGCTCGTTTGCAACTTGCTGTCGAGGTCCGCGGTTCGCATCCAGCAGACCGCCCTGTTAATCCCGCGGGTGAATTAACCACAAAATACTATTCACCGTCCGCTTCACAGTGGACGTTACAGATCCCATGGCGTTAGCTGAAAAAAGTAGGCCATTGTGTGACGGAGTCATGGTCCAAATTTGACACGTTTGAAATTCTATCGGCGAATGACTCAATTTGGATTACCAATAGCAACATTGCTGACTATTCCGAAACTACTGCAGAAAAAGTACCTTCCTTCGTGAAAGCCTATAACCCAAAATAATTGGGTGAATACCAAATGCAATGGTTCTAGATTTGAAGCTTTCGTGACTGCAAGGATTCATATTCTTAGTTTTTTCGGTAAAGTCACGTAGGTAAAAAATGAAATTAAAATGAATAAAAATAAAATAATAAAAAATCAGGACGTTTCGGAGGCAACACAAGTCTCCATCATAAGGTGGGACCGTCACAGCCAGATTTGCTGTATCACTTGATACAGCAAATCTGGCTGTGACGGTATAAATGCAATGGTGATTTGATGACTGGGACAAGAAACAAGCCCAGATTCACCAAACACAGATCAGGATTGGTTTAGTTTAAAGTTAAGCAATGATTTGTGGCCAGGTTGCTCTGAAAACGAGTTATATAGCTCAGTTGGCCTTACCTGGTTAGAAAATAACGAAATAATGGATGTGTAAGCACAGCTCAAGACTCAATCGAAGTTTCTTTGCACAATCATTGGCAAGCGAAACAAAGGTGCCACACATAACGATCCTTTATTATCCCGAGGCTGTAACCCAAGCTGAACTTTGACCCAAAGAGATGCTCAGCCCCGTGGACAATCCACACGCCACACTCTCGCTTCAGGTTTTAAGTCTCCTGCCGGTTATTTGACATGTAATTCCACGGGGGGAAGCAAAGCCAAGAGCAGACATCAATCACAATTCCACTGCTTGCCAATTCAGTGGAAGCAACGATGGAAGATGTGATTGTTTAAATCAATATTTTGTGGATTTTTTTTGTTCAATTTATGACAAACTATATTTTCTCCACATTCGTATAATCTATTTATCTTGAGGACAACTGAAAAAACAATGCATTTCACATCACAAAACAGGGAAGAGCTGTTTAACACATACTCCATAGTTCACTCAAACCATATATGGGCACTGCCAAAATTGCAATCATACTGTTTAATCATATACATGTACACACGTGTAGACATACTGTACAGTATATGCCAAAATGCAAACTTTCAAACACAACACCAAATCTAATGAAACACAAACATGCTGACACCAGGGTCTGCAAAGCCAGAGGGTAATGAGTTTCTGTGGCGATGGCTCTCAGAGTACAAGCAAACAGGCCCACACATTAGGTGGCTGCTTACAAAGGTCATCTATACGGAACACAAGCAAGCACACGGCGGAGGGGGGGGGTGTACGATCACCTCCCAGGTGCATGGGGTAAATTCAATCGTGTTCTGTTCTGTAGGGCTACATAACGCATGCGTCTTAACTACACGAGCGTTCCCCATCAAAGCCACAGCTCTCACCTCCACCGGCATCATGCCTTTAGATTTGCGCAGATGGTCCATTACTGCTTAGGTCACCGAGGGCAGCAAATAAAGCGGTGCTGTGCAATAACCCACCCTTAGGGCTTCCATAACCCCACATGGCTACTGTCACTGCTCGTGTCAAGGGCTTCAAGAAGTGGATTAGGAATGTAACTTTGCAATAAGCTTCCTAAAATTGTGTTAAACACAGAGCTCCTTTGCTCTCAGGCAATGACATTTATGCAGAAATGCTGATAAACAAGACTTCTACAAAGATTTCTACGTAGGTGTCACGTTGACATTTATCAGCTACAAAACAATAAACTGACTGAGAAAATCTTATTTCATGGAGCTCCTGTGTATTAAAGGTGTATGGGCATAAGCTTTGTATAAATATCTACTCGGGAGTCCTAATGTCACAGACAAGTTTTACACATGTACAAAACACCATGTAGAACTATGACATTACAAAATTGTACATTCCTTTGTCAGTCCACTGCTGAATGGAGGCCTCCCTACAACATATTGGTTATGGAGTTTGTTTGACCAGACAACACCGCACTGCTCACTGGTGGTTGGTGAAGGAATAGGAGGAAGCCCAGAGCCCAGAACCAGATCAGTTGTCACTCGCCACAGATGTAAGCTGTCGAAAGGAATTTAACTCAGGTGGCCCGGTTTGTCACAATGTGTTAACCCCTTCATCATCGATCCACCCAGGTATGAAAAAAACGAGTGATTGAACTATCTTCCATTGCATATTTAAAGGCAACACCTTTAAGTCTTCATGTAAAAACTATACTCTTTGATATTAAAGAAAGTAAATTATAAATAGTTCTCAAAGGGTGCTACAAAACCTCCTTTGAGATATTTTATAAAGACATTTTTATATCACCTTTCACATCCCGACCACGTGCATCGTTATGCTGACAATAAAGCAGTTTGCACAAGAAACCATGATCACGTGGAATTCTGAGTTCCACATCAAGAGTACATGGAAAATTGTATTTAAATTATGGAATAAATTTGCTATTCGTGTAATTATTACAGCGCAGGACTACCACGAAGGCACTTTGTTTCACAATAAGATATAGTCTGCCTATAGGGGGCAATGTTGTTAAGTGCAATTCCCATTCAGAAATTAGTGGATAATTTTTCACATTTGTAAAATGTGAATAATGGTGCCGGCGCACTCTTTTAGAATGATGTCAAGGGATCTTTAATGCCCACTGTGAAGCAGGTGGCACGTATTCTACAAGTAACACACCAACAGTATTATCCAGCGTTCCTTCCGGCTTCAAACAATTAACCTCTACAACAAGCGGAAAACTCATTGCAGCTGGGCCACATCACTGCTCAACTTACTCATTTTAGCAGGTTGGTTTCTGTGCATGTCTTTAAACTTTGAAATAAATTAAAATAGCAGGAGGAATGTGAAATAGAACGCCGGCTAATGGAAAGTGTCCACTTCCAAGAACACACGGTGACGAAACGGCCACTTACACACGCGCACACACACAAGCGTGTAGACTGTGCCCAATGTAGTGGAAATGAAACGTACCTAAAGATAGCAGAATATTGTTCGGGTCAAAGGAGAGCTGGAATGCGCCGAACTCCAGCAGCAGTCCGAAGATCAAGCCGGCTATCAGGGACGGCAATGAGCCTGAAAACAGACGTGGAAAACTCCATTATCGGCTATGTTCAATCCACTGCTGGATGAGGCCTCTCCCCAAGTCGTCTCCATCTCTCACGGCCCTGCAGTGTAACAATTAAGCGAGCAGCGGCTGCACAAAAGGTGATTTCATCAATTCCATCTCCACAGCGGATTGTCTTCCGCTCCATCACCCAAGAGGAAATTGGCACTGAAGGAAATGGCAAATATCGTAGATTTCAAGAGATATGGGCTTTAAAATGCGATTGCAAATCTGAATGGGTTAACAACTTAAATGTGCTCTCATATTTAGTTGTCATTTGTAATTTATATTTAATGCTAAGCTAATAACTGAGTCTTACATCGTTCTTTTTTTAATTGTCATCTCAAGGCACGTGCCAATTTTGAACATTACAGACTATAAAATTACGAAGATAAACAACATTAAATATTTAATATGGTATTTGAAATTTGAAATTACATATTTATGTATTCATGTCTAATTAAATGTGACTGAAGGTACAGTATTACCATTATTCATAAAGCCTTGGTGTAAAAAAAAAAATCTGTAAAAATCGACAAGACATGAGCCAAAACAAGCAGACATCTTAGATTTAATATTCAAAGCACAAAAAGATGTACTCAGATATAATACTGATGTTCATGTGTCATACATTGACAACTCGACTGCAATAGCTAGCCATCATTTTCTACCGCGGTCTCTCCACTACTGGATGTTCAGTACATTTTAACTAAATTAACATTGCAGCTCCTTATCAATCCATCCCTGGGGTAATGCTTCCTCATACATAGACAGTCATGGGAGGTTTTGTGTCCGTACTTCATATGGACATGAATAGAGTGGCAGCTATAAATCAATACACTGGTCAATGCGGTTTGGCAACCAGTTCGGATAGAACACATGCCACTCACATTAGCCGTGGTCGGGTATAAAACTTTTGGGTTAATCACGCAGCGAGTGTGAACCATACATACCCTTCCTCTTGTAGCCAATAACCCCACCAGCAATCACCAAGGAGCCAAATCCAAAACCATACCAGTCAATCGCCATGGCTACAACTCGTGTTTTGGAAATCTGCAACACAAAGGCATCATATTAGTGGTTGTAACTTTCACTGAAGAAATACTGCAAGTTTACTTAATTAAAAAAAGTAAATCTTATGGCCATTAGATGTCTTGCATCTTAGTCAAGGTGTCCCCATGCTCAAATGCAATGGGGCCCCACTTTTCATGACTGATGATGCTAAAGAAATCACCCCAACCCTTGCCCATCACCTCCCGTCCAGTGGCACATGTGGAAAGATACTTTATTTTACAACTAGTTTTGTGGTTATGCGATTAGTGTAGTAATCGAACCGGTAAACATTAGTGTGAGATATATATGAATTAGTCCTGCACCCTTCCCGACTCAACCAAACCTGCACCATCCAGCGTGGAGAAGTATGACCAACACAGAGTTCTTCTTCATGCAGCAGTGAATTGACAAAACTATTTTACATTGTTGTAAGTTTGTTGAAAAGGGCTGTTTCATGCATTCCTGACGCCAAGCCCCAAGACAATGACACATTCCTTTGGCCAGAACAAATCTATCATACCTGCTGCTGACATCTGGATCACAAAAAAATGGAACAAAAGCTGTAAAGTGCACAAAGAAAAGTATGGAAAAGTGAATGATTGGAGTTACATAGAGGCAGAAATGGAACACGTGGCTTATAGAAAGACCATGCAAAAGCTAGGAGCGTCATATTGGCCTGCCAAGTGGGTTTGTGTAGAATAAGTCTTCTCGAAAAGGGATTAAATAAAGGTGGTCAAGACAAACGATGGTGTGGCAGCCACAGAAAACGACACGGCCGAGATGGACGTCCATCGCAGGTTGGCGGAAGGATTCAATCAGAATGAGTGTGGAGGAGCAGAGATGCATTGCTGCGTCGCAAACCCCCTGGGGGATGGCGAAGACTTGGGGAGGCCTTCATCCAGCAGTGGATTATCACGGCTGATGACTGCCCACGTGGAGCAATACACATTCGAGACGTCTCACCTCTCAAATTAGCATTGGAAGGCTGAGCCAGCGGTCTAAATTCCACGTTACCCTGGCGAGCTCAGTACAACCATGGTAACACGACTGCTGGATGAGGGCCTCCTCCTAACACCGTGGCAGATCGTGGGTGTTATTTGTTTGACCATACTTCACCACTCTGGTCACTACGAGTTGGTGAATGTCCAGTACAAGTTAATGTTGTTGTTTCTGCTGCAGCGCCCTCTGCTGTCCACCACGCAGCCTATAACACCTCTGCTATCCATCCAAGCCCTAACCAGGCTCAACATTTGCTTAGCTCTCAAAGTCTCAGGCCAGGTTCAACGCTTGCTTAGCTCTCAAAGTCTCCGGCCAGGCTCAACATTTGCTTAGCTTTCAAAGTCTCAGACCAGGCTGAACGCTTGCTTAGCTTTCAAAGTCTCAGACCAGGCTCAACACTTGCTTAGCTTTCAAAGTCTCAGCCCAGGCTGAACGCTTGCTTAGCTTTCAAAGTCTCAGACCAGGCTCAACACTTGCTTAGCTTTCAAAGTCTCAGACCAGGCTGAACGCTTGCTTAGCTTTCAAAGTCTCAGACCAGGCTCAACACTTGCTTAGCTTTCAAAGTCTCAGGCCAGGCTCAACACTTGCTTAGCTCTCAAAGTCTCAGGCCAGGCTCAACTCTTGCTTAGCTCTCAAAGTCTCCGGCCAGGCTCAACACTTGCTGAGCTTTCAAAGTCTCAGGCCAGGCTCAACACTTGCTTAGCTCTCAAAGTCTCAGGCCAGGCTCAACTCTTGCTTAGCTCTCAAAGTCTCAGGCCAGGCTCAACTCTTGCTTAGCTCTCAAAGTCTCAGGCCAGGCTCAACTCTTGCTTAGCTCTCAAAGTCTCCGGCCAGGCTCAACACTTGCTGAGCTCTCAAAGTCTCAGGCCAGGCTCAACACTTGCTTAGCTCTCAAAGTCTCAGGCCAGGCTCAACTCTTGCTTAGCTCTCAAAGTCTCAGGCCAGGCTCAACACTTGCTTAGCTCTCAAAGTCTCAGGCCAGGCTCAACACTTGCTTAGCTCTCAAAGTCTCAGGCCAGGCTCAACACTTGCTTAGCTCTCAAAGTCTCAGGCCAGGCTCAACTCTTGCTTAGCTTTCAAAGTCTCAGGCCAGGCTCAACGCTTGCTTAGCTTTCAAAGTCTCAGGCCAGGCTCAACGCTTGCTTAGCTCTCAAAGTCTCCGGCGCATACGGAATCACATGTTAACATTCAGCGATGAGTGAAGTTGTCTAGGGGTTTATTTTTTTTAATCCATCAGTGTGCGGCGTCGAATAGGACCGTAATAAAAATAAAATAGTGTAGACTTTGTTATCTATGCTACAGTTGTTAAAGCGGCTAGGCCAGAAGCCTTCAGACAGACTGCGAGGGAGCCGCTCCCGCTTTAGTTAAAGCCACCAACGTCAAAATGATGCATAAACGCGCGCGGTAACTTAAGAAACAACGTTGCAAGTCATCGGCACGTGAATGTTGATATTTTACAATGCAATTGTTAAATGTTTGATGAATGTAAGCGGCGCAGGGAAGTTTACCGGTGCCGGGTTCGTGTTGTATGTCGTTCCGAGAGGCCACGCCCACTAAGCGGGACGGGCCAATCAGAAAGCAGGCGGTGACGTCACGCATAAATTATGAGATAAATTAATAAATAGCTTTTTATATAATTTATGAACGAAATAATTGAACAATTCAATTCCTCGTGCAAATAATAAGCTAGGTGAGGTATAAAATAGACAATTACCCTTTTGGTAACGATTCACGTGTCAAATTTTAAATGTTAATTAGGAAGCATGTTTTACGTTTCCATAGCTGTTAACCCATTGGGTTTACCCCGTGTCCTTCTTGCACAGGGAAATTGAGGTTCAGATCCATACGGGGCGTACAGCCGTTTCAGTTCATTTATTACGTATAGCCCTGTGAGCCATTCGGCTCTTGAATCGGGAGCAACCGCGACAAACAAAAACATGAACAAGAAACATCTTAAAGTGACTACACACAGCAGAAAAATCCAAGAAAAAACAGCAAAGTGTTCAATGCTGTGTGCAAAAATCCCAGTGGGATGCAAGTCAAACAATAACAACCATAAGACAATTTAGATTAAAGTTATCAGTCTAACTCTGTACAACAACAAACAAATATGGCTAATCCAAAACGTTTTCGAAATCACCAAAATAAAGCTATTTAAACAAAGTAACAGTGATCATAGGAACTGTGATTCAAATTTAACAATAAACGATATACATAACATGTCCGACCAAACTTTGCAGACATAGCTGGCAGCATGAGTCACTCCTTATAAGCAGGAGTATCAGTAGAGCTATCATGTGGAAGTATCAACATTTTTCAATGCACCTTTAAAGATCAGCACACTATAATCAAAACTCAAGATCATACTTTGCAGTTTCAATACGGACACAAATGTTGTGGTCTGTTAGTGTTTATCCCTTGTGATGTGACTTTGTAGGATGAACAGTGAGATTTATAAGGGCACGGGGTGATCAATAAGGTCTGAATTTGTCTGTAATAAGGTAGGGCACTGACAAGGGGTTGACAGGTATGCTGCGTTTCATTCCGAGCAGGTCCCGTGGTATATGACGCGCGGTCTCCAACTCCCATGCACTCGAGTTGCTGTGTTGCCCTTCTAAGGCTGCGATCTTCATGAATCTGTTGCTTTTTTTCAAATAATCTCATCTCTATATTCACTGCATCGCTTTCGTTCTGCTACATTTCCGTTTTCTCATCAACATCTCTCACATTTAATTACAAGTGTCTCATTCGTACCTCTCACTCCATCTTTACTTGATGTCTCCATCTCTCCTCTCATCTCAATTCATCTCCGTATATTGTCTCCATATCTCCTCTCATCTCACTTCATCTCTGTATTTTGTCTGCATCTCCTATCATCTCACTCCATCTCTGTATCTTGTCCCCATATCTCCTCTCATCTCACTCCATCTCTGTATCTTGTCTCTATATCTCCTCTCATCTCACTCCATCTCTGTATCTTGTCTGTATCTTGTCTGCATCTCCTATCACATCTCTATCTCAACTGTAGTTGCTCTCTTCTCTCATCTCACAAGGAGTAATCATTGGAAAAGGGGTTGGGGGGACGATATTATTTTTACTTTGGGCCCTCAATTCGCAGGCTCCACCACTGCATTGACAACAACATTCCCCACTAAGTGGCGGGGACGTCACCACGGCGCTTGTGCCAGGCCAGGTGCACTTTGAGACCACGTGAAGTGTCGAAGGCTCGCTGCTGACAGGAGGAGGTCACGGGAGAGGCCCAGGTGTCATGGGTTGACCGACTGAGAGGACTGGCAGATGCACCAGCTGTGCCCTCTACTGTGCCAACGATTTATTTGGTCAAAGCGAGAGAGCTGCGCGGTGCCCCGAGGAAGAAGTCTCCAAACAACGGGCGTCTCGCAACCCTCTGCCATCTCGAACACGACCGTTCTTTAAAATGGACATGAAATGGATTAATAATGTAAGCGCAGTTTACGGAACTCTGCATTAAAAACATATATATCTCGAGAGCACTTAATGCACTCGCTCCATTAAAATGCCATCCCTAATGCAGCGTAAACATGGGGGGCTGCGGTGGAGGGGAGAGGCTGCCGAGCTGAGAGAGAGACGTCAGTTGCGGCAAATGCACCGGGTGCATGTTGACCCTCGCTGCCCACACACCAGCCGCGTGTCACGGGGTCACTTCCACGTGCAATGTAAATTAAATCGTTAAGAGGTAGAGAGACAACCACCACGACTCGTGCAACCGAGAGAGGAGGCTGCTGCTGCTGCTGCTGCTGGGGCAACTGCTGCTGCTGCTGCTAAGACACGAACGCTCACCGCACATCCTCGAGTAAACAGACCCGTGTGGGTTTTTTTTTCAAGACACGAGATTGCATTTAACAATCTAACGTGACTACGTGCTGTATTATGTTTGTCTTTCCCCACAATGTTATGCCGAACGTGCTGTTGGTGTCAAGTCGTGAGATGAAAAATGCATTGGTAAGTCTGTGTTAGGAAACGGTGCATGGGAGCGGATATCACAGAACTACATCTGAGGTCCCTTGAAGTAGGTGGCGCCGCTCGTTGCAGTCCCCAAAGTTCCCAAGCGTTCGTTGAGACCCGAAGGGTTCAGAGGTGGGTCAAACAATTTTCAGAGTCATCGAACCGGCGAGTCTGGAGGCTGCGAGGGTTTTTTTTTCTTTCCCCGCCTTCCTTCCCCCAGCGATCAAATCTCATTGATCCCACCACCGGGGCCGCGGTCTCATTCCTGAGCGGGAGGGTGGAGAGCTGCGCGCTACCATCCGCGGCGGTGTTCGGACCTCCTGCGAGGACGGTGATCGATCGACGCGAGACGCCAGCGTCCGCAGACTAAAGCAGCAGCCCCGCTTCGAGATGCAGAGGCAGCACTCTCGCGTGACCTTGCTTGTGGGCGGGGGGGGGCATAGAAACTTTGAACAATTGTAAAATCAGTGGTTCTCACCCGTTCTGTATGGCCGCCCCACAATCCACACCACTGGCAGGAAGGAGCCTCGCAGCAACACGCGTGCAAAACGAGAAACACTCGTTGATGGGAATTTGTTAAACGCGTC